ATATTTCTGTTTGTGAAAATTTCTCCGAGTTAACCAGTAGAGAAGACAATATTTATGAATAAAAATGACAATCGGAAAACTAGTAATTGCTGACGCGTTTCGTCCAATGTGGACTTTATCAAATTTTCGTATTTTGCTTTGATAAAGTCCACATTCAGCAATACTAGTTTTTCCGATTGTCATTTTTATTCATAAATATTTCTGTTTGTCATCTACTGACATATTTGCTTGGGATGAACTGATTTAAAAAATCATCGTTTATTAGATAAAAGGCAATAAACAATGTTCTCACATAAAGAAATATGTGTACAAGAAAGGAAATAGTCGTAAGAAAATCTAAATAGAAAGACTGATCACAGAAAAGGATAAGAAAATATATCTTAAAGTCTTTCGGAAATGAAATACTTTTCTTGTTTATAAGTAAATAAATAAATCTGGTTAGGCTTCCTGAAAGTTTTCAGTAGAGAATCCGTTTCTTTCTTCACCCGGACATTTTTTTTTTTTATAGTAGGACCACTTTTTAGCTATAAGCATTTAACTAAAGATTTAATCAGTGTTGCTACATATGAACTGAATAAAGGAGGTAAACGATTAAGAGTAGAACATTTGTAATTCAAGAAACTAAATATCTATTCAGATATACGAGGTCTGTCTGAAAAGTAACGGGACTTATAAGTTCTTCGATGTGCTGAGCATCGTGCACAGTGAGTTCTTGCCACAGAGCCAGACGATTAATCATCCAGTCTACAAAGAGATCCTGTAATGTTTGTTTCGCTCAGTGCACGAGAAGAGACGAGAGTTGTGTTAAAGACACGTTGTGGCTCCTTCATTACGGCAATGCACCTGCTCACAACATCCTGAGCATCTAGCAGTTTCTGAACATCGCCGTATTTGAACAACCTCCCTATTCACCTGATCTTGCTTCGTAACTTTTTTCTTTTCCTCGAGCTCGAGGAGATCATCAAAGTGACCTGTTTTGAAGGCGTGGAGAGGGTCGTAACGACGGAGTTGAGAAGCATCCAAGATGAATCCTTCTAGAAGTGCATAGAAGCGTGGCAGAGAAGGATTAAAAGTGCATTAGATTTGAGTGTGGTTATTTTTGAAGAAGAAACCACGTAGTTTGTTGTTTGGAATTGAAATAAATTGTTTTTGACAGTAGTCTCGTTACTTTTGAGAGAGAGAGAGAGAGAGAGAGAGAGAGAGAGAGAGAGAGAGAGAGAGAGAGAGAGAGAGTATATATATATATATATATATATTTATATAAAACAGTATAAAGGGAATGCTGGACAGTTTCCTCACAGACGAAGTGACTTTAGGCAACAGATATGTAGCTCGACAGAAAGATACGTAGAATACCATGAACGTAGCATGTGAGTAACGAGGAAATTTTATGAAAAATGGATACAAATGATTTTTAAAATTAGAAAGACATAGTTGAAAATTCTGGGACACATAAGGGAAGAGGGTTTAGAGAATGTGACACCCACAGGGACATATTGAAGGCAAACGGGAAAGAAAGAGTAATGAACCTAAAAAGCTTGTTTAAATGGAAGGAAGAACAAGGAGTTAGGTATTGCTAAGATTTACAAAGGAAAGGAAGTTGTAGAGCACCCTACACGACACATAAAAAACAGCACTCTTTTAATATTAGCACGGGTATTTAATAAAAGTTGCTGCAATAGGATAACTTACCAACATTTTGCTTTGCATGCCTTTAAAAAGATTAAATTATGAATGTAAAAATAGTCATCGATTTTTTTTATTAGTGGCCCAAGTTAGGAGAGGAGAGTTTTGTGTGAAACAAAGAAAAGATTACCGAATTGTTATGTAATATCAGTCCTTTTATATAGCACTGAATGCTGGAAAATATCATCACAGATGAAGAAAAGACTTGAAGCAATAGAGATTGTGTTTTACAAAAGGATGCTGAGAATACCATGGACGGAACATGTGAGCAACGACGAAGTTTTACGGAAAGTGGAAGCAAAAGTGTAGCGTTGCAGCTTAGACCAGGCACCAGGTTCATTCTCTGACTGCAGCTTCTTCTAGTGAAAAGTCTTGTAGTTTACAAAATAACTCTTTGGCCAGACCGTCACCCACGAAGTAAAATCATGAGACATTTATAGTAGCAGGTAAATTTTATTCGGTTGTAACCCTCTGCTGTAAACATGCGAGGTGTAGGTGAGAATAGTTGAAGGGGAGAACCGTCTAACGGGCGTGTTTTCTTTTCGCGTAGCGCGGGTGGTCTCTTGTCCCTCTCTGTCCGTTCCGTGTGTCTCTCCTCAAGAGGCCACTGCCACATAGAAGAAGATGCACCATCATACGAAATAACTAAATTCAAAATTTAGCCACGCTGAGCTTACAAAAATAGATTAATCTGGTAAATACGATGTAAAACGAGACATGCCTGTGGAGTCAGTTGAAATTCTTTTGTCACAAAATCAGGAAAGAACGCCTGGTGAATATAACAGTCACAAGGTAGAGTAAGGCAAAAAGAATCAGGTTGAAAAAAGTTGTTGGATGATTTTGTTTAACGACATATCAACACCTCTATGGGTTATTTAATACAGAAATCTACTTAGAATACATTTTTTGGCTTCAGTTTCAGATAAAATATATTCTTCGTCATTTTTCTAAAAAATGTATTTTTGATAATTCTACAATAGATATATATTGTTAGCAATTCGTTTTATATAAAATGTATTGCCGGTATTTATACTATAAAAATGTATTTTATACTGTCATAGCGTTTTGTTTTTGTTTGTGGGGTTCACTATCTGTCTATATCTGGAACCCTAACAGGTGTTATCACCCTGAGGTCATGTTTGATCTGAGAACAATAATAATTATAAGTTGGTTCCATACTCCTCAAAACCTCCAATCTCCATATCAGTGGTCTTGCTGCTGGATGTAGTTTATCGTCATACCCAGGACTAGAAGCAACATGATCTTTGTTTCTTGATCCTATTGTTTACAAAGAAAACATTATGTTTCTAATTAAATATGCTTTACTCTGTAAGTTTCTGTTGTATTTGTTATACCATCAATAAATCGGGAGTCATCAATTTATAGCAAGTTTGGCTCATTGGTTTAAGAGGGATATTTTCTTGCGTTGGTTTGTTTGATTTTTTGAAGGTCAAACTCCTTATAGGCCATTTAAAGCTGGAGTTTAACTTTCTTCGAAGCTTTGGAACTTTTTTTTTTTCTATTAAAATCTATTGCTGGTATTTACTATTTGCCCATAACTGGGACCCTAACAGGTGCTACCACTCCGGGTTAGAGTGGACCTGGGAACAACAACAATTAAGAGATGGTTCCATGCTCATCAAAACCTCCAATCTTGCTGCTAGATGTAGTTTATCCTTACACCCAGGACTGAACTACTTTGTGTGAATGGATAACGTAGCCAAGACAAGGGAAGTGTAAAAAGTCCAAAGTTATTTAGAGCAACAAAAACAGGAAGTTTCAGAGAGCCATGAACGCCCACGATCTGAAACAAGATAACTCATAAAGTAGATGGGGGTTCTCAAATCGATTCACTTCCCCGAATCTGATCAAACATTTGAATTTGGGATACCTTTTGAGGGTCGGGCGGATATATTATCAGTATCTCTTTTCATATATTAAGAATAGATGGAAAACGAAATTATTTAAAATTTTACATGAATTAATTTTCTGAAAATATTTCTGTCCAAATTTACTAATAAAGAAAGAAAGAGTGAATTTGAAAATATTCAGGTTACTGTTACTTTGTATGGGTTGTCATAATTGCATTATTTGGAGAGAAATGTTTTCAGAAAATTAATTCATTTAAAATTTTAAATAATTTCATTTTCCATTTCTTTGTAATATTTGAAAAGAGATATTGATAAGATCTCAGCCCGATCAATAAAAAATTTCCCAAATTCTAATGTTTGATCAGATTCGGGTAAGTGAACCAATTTTAGCACCCCCATCTTACTCTATGAGTTAGTGCGAAAGAAAACTAACAAAATTTAACTTCAAAATTGGCAAACCGATCCGTTTTCAAGCCATATTTAAAGGCTGTTACATTTTTTATAGTAAATTCTATCCCTTTCTGACTTCAGACATTCTTAACTGATGCCATGATTTCAGGAAAATTTATAAATGACAATTTTTTTTTACCTAATTTTCCCTGATAATTGCAGACTAAAAATAACAGCAGCTCATTAAAAAAAAATGTGTTCAGTCAAATTGTTACGTGTTAACACCTACTGTCTCAAACCGTTAAATGTCGAGACAGGAAATTGTCTAGAAACATAACAGCAACATCCATATTTAAGCAAAAATGAAATTTCATGGAATAAGCCATTGGTTTATTCGAAGACGTGTTAGTCAGTCGAGTGCGATGAAAATAATATTCAGACTTTTCTTAGGATATATATATATATATATATATATATATATATATATATATATATATATATAGATTTAATAATGTTCAAGTCAAAATAGCTTAAAATGTATTTAATATTTACTGAATCAGAATTTACCAGCGGAGTCAGAGTAATCCGTTAATTTTGTTGGCGCTTCCACCAAGCACGTCATCTTGCCTTGAGTTCACAACGCCAATAAGTTGCATACGTATTTACGAAAACGTGAGAACAATGCAAGACAACTCCTTTCTATTCCAGCTCAAATTTGAAGTTTGTGCCCCAGTTTCATACTAGAAGAATGTCTCGTGCGTTGAAAATGGATTGATCGAGTGATGAATTCGTTTTCTATTGCTTATCAACCCGTTGCAGGTTATTTAAGGCCAGAAAATATTTTTAGATTGTATGAAGTTTTTTGAGATAATAATGGTTTAGTGATATAAGTTCTACTATTTAACCCATAGCTAGGTGGAGAAGATGTGGATTCATATCTTTCCCAAGGATATTTGAGCGTAAGTGAATATAATGAACCCAACGGGAATTAGAACCCATCTCTCAGATTAACAATTCCGAGTCATTATCCATTACACCACCCAGACATCTAAGCTTACAGCACCTGGTATTCCCAAGCGGTCACCCCTCTAGGTACTGACAAGGCTCGACGTTGCTTAACTTCCATGATCTTACAGGAACCGATGTCTCAAGGTGATGTAGCCGTATGCTTGAAAAAGGAGATACAGTTGGAGAAGATAAAAAATTCCAACCAATGGTATTTGTATTTACTTCGTGTTAATGCACTTGAAAAGGCACAAATCCACTTCTCCCTGCAGAGTCCCATCGTCCGATATTGACAATTTTCTTTTATCACTGGCATGCTATAGTGGTTGATGAATCGAGTAGACTAACGAGAATTTATGTAAACCACTTTCCCATACCTATCTTATCGGCCCAAACAGTAGAAGCAAAAACGTGTTACCCATCCTCCATAGCCAACCGCCAATCAACAAATGAATAAGTTTTCCAGATTTGATATCTCTAGGTTAGACCGAATTACCATTCTGTTTACTTACATCTGGATTGACCTTATCTTTACTTTTCTTCTCATCAGTGAATTCTTTGCAACTCTCTTACCCTCCTTCTCTGAACCGTTTATAACTCGAAATGATTTAAAGTTGATATACAAGAAACAAGGGTAACCTACTCCGGCATTTAAAGCATAAAACTACCCTCTGACATTTCCTGGTATTTGGTATAAATGGGAAGAGCAAAGATCGAATCTTTGATGCAGTAGCTTAAAAGTAGGAATATGGAACCATTTATTACTTTTGCGGTTTATAAGTAAAAACGAATTTCTGGAATTATTTCCATTTAAGATCCTTAGCTGCATCTGTGAGACAAAACCAGAAATCCGCTGACAGCAAGGAATTACAATTTGAACAATTTGAGACGTCAACCTTTTGCAGTCTGTTCTGGCTCCAAGTATTACCTTTCAAGTGCAACCTGTATTTCCGTTTTCCCTTTTAAGTATCTTTCGTCCGGATACTTAGTTATTATTCCATACTACCATGAAGTATTTGATGGGCGTGGTTCTCAAAATGATTACTTAGAAAAGCGAGACGATTTGAAACATTTTTGCTTTGTTGTCTCTCTCTTATTCATGTAGAATCCATGAGAAAAAAACGAAGAAACATCTGGGTTATATCTACTGAAAATATATTTTTAATCATATCACGCCAAGCAAGGCAATAAAGCCACTAAGACGCAGAGGGTTACTGAGTGTGAAAGAATATAAGAAAAGGGAAACATAACGAGAGAGAACAATAAAAGAGCAGAAATTAAGAAGGCGTAAGATAACTGTTGTTTGTACGATACACCCAATTTACATAAGTGGAGTACCGACCATATAAATATGGGTTGGTACCGGAAGACGGGGGTTGAAGAAGACATCGAATCGAGAGACTATGCCCGACTGCGATTTAGTCAACCCATTATGCAGGAACAGTCTTCCCAAACAATATACCAAAACTAACTGTAAATATTGTGGAACCACATTTACATACAAAGTATTCTAGCCTTTTCCTTGTTTCAATACATTTTGTTAACGTACATTTTTGTGTTGTATTATTATTATTCCATGCTTATCAAGTTTCAACAATAACAATAGACATTGCATTTATATTTTTGGAGATCAAATTTGACTGGAAAGCAAGAAGTCGGAAGAGAATTCCGCCAGCAAGAAGTGCGAGAAAAGAAGCTGTTAGCATAGAACTTACGGTTACATCTAGTCATTCAACTATGTGATAAGAAATTGCCGCCAGTCTAATACTGCGCTTAAATTCACAAAATCTAGGTACCATAGAGGAAAGTTCATCAGAACGATTACAATGAAAGAATTTATAGAAAAGGCACAGAGAAACTACGTTACAGTGTTGGAAAAGTCACTGAAACTTAGATGCCAGGTCAGGACTAATAACGTTGCAGGTACTTCTATTTGAAAAATTTCTCAGAGTTAACCTGCAGAAAAAGACGATATCTATAAAGGTAAAAATAATAGGCAAACTATATTTTTAGCCGACGCGTTTCGTCCAATGTCGACTTTTTCAAACAAAGGCAAAAACGAAAACAAAAAAAAAAAAAAAAGGAAAAAGTTTGACGTCTCGAATTGTTAAAATTGTAATTCCTTTTTTGTTTCGTTTTTGCGAAGATTTGAGTTGAAAAAGTTCACATTGGACGAAACGCGTCGGCTAAAAATACAGTTTTCCTATTATCTTTTACCTTCATACATATTTCTATTTGTCTAAAATATATAGCAGGAGCACTAAGCCAGATATGGTAGCAATATTGAAAACAAGGACGAATGGTAGACTTATAAATATGTAAGATAGAAAAAATTTGTCTAGCACGACACAGTGAACCAACTTTCCTAGCAGCAGACCTAGCAATTGATTCAGTAGAATCTTTCCATTTCATGTCAGTGGAAATCGTTAGCCGGAGAAGGTGCGAGTAGCTAAGGGAATTACATTTAAAACCCAGGATGTAGGCTAGCACGCTTCTCCACAGCTTACTTTTAATATGAATGAATTGATAATAACTTCTTCGGAAACAGTAGAATGGTTTCCTGCAGTATTATCCGCGGTTGATTTCAGTATATATATATATATATATATATATATATATATATATATATATATATATATATATATATATGTATGTATGTATGTATATTTTTTAAGCATTACGCCCCGAGCAAGGCATGAAGCCACTAGGATGCAAGGGGTTGCAGATTTTGACTCAATGTATTTGTTCCATCTCAGGTCAGCAGTCAACCGATGAGAACTGAACCGAGCAGACGCAGGGATTTGCTCTCAAGAAGTTGACTATCAGACATTCTAAGGGGGGGGCGGGGAAGGATCTCTATGGTGATTAATAGAGAGTAGTTTAGGTTTTTGACGCGTTAAAGTTGACCAGCCAATTCTTGCCCAAATTAACAACCGATTGGAGGTCCTTTTCAAGACGCACGGCCAGGTTAGTTTTGTCACCGACACTAGATTTGTTTTTGAGGCAGAAGTAAATTGTAGTGTCGTCCGCGTAGATGCCAACTTGGAAATCTATGGCGTCAGGAAGGTCGTTGATGAAAATAAGGAAGAGTGGGGCCAAGGATGGAGCCTTGGGGAACACCTGCGTTCGTGGGATAGTAACTGGAGGAGAATCCGTTGAGAACAACCTTCAATTCACGGTTTGACAGGAATGATTGTATTAGATCAAACAATCGACCTGTAATACCATAACCATGGAGCTTACAAAGAAGGACGGCATGACAAACCCTATCAAACGCTTTGGAGATGTCTAGGGCCACGGCACGAGCCTCACCGTTATTTTGATGGGCTTGGTAGACGGTTTCAGTGATGGCCGTAAGCACATCAGCTATAGATCGGGCATAGCGGAAACCATATTGCTTGTCTGAGAGCAGATCATGGGATGTAAGGTGGTTAACCACTTCGGCATTGATTAGGGCTTCGAAGACTTTGCCGAAGAGGGGTAGGAGACTAATAGGACGGTAATTAGAGGGGTCAGAGGGGTCCCCAGAGTTCTTAAAGACAGGAACAATGGATGAGGACTTCCAGAAGTCAGGAAAACAGGATTCCTTGAGGCATTAAAGAAAAACAAAAACCGTTTGTTGAACCAACGGACAATTTGCCAAAACCTAAAAGTCTTATTCAGATACAATCTGGAATAAAACTGACAATAATGAAAAAAAAAAGAAGAAAAAAAAGGGCCTAAAAGCAAAATTACCTACTCAGTAAAGTTTTTGAAGCATAGATTGTCTAGACCGAGCAAAAAAAAGAAACCGCTTACAAACGTTAAATCCTATGAAAGGATGGCTCTAACCCTAACCCATGCTCAGGCGATTATATATATATATATATATAATATATACAAATACATGAATTATTCACACAGAACTAATGCAAAGGTTAATGGTTTAAATGGCGAGACATCCATCATCGCAAACAATTCAAATAGTACACAAAAACCTCCAGATCCGTTATGAATGAATTGATCCTTGTTCATATAAATTTCTGCCGTATTAGTTGTTATTTTACTACAAGCTTTCGTCTGTTCCTACAGACATCTTCAGGTATATAATAGATGTTGTTCTTGTTTTTTTTTCTCTTAGTAATAAGAGGACATCGAAAATATATGTGTTATTGTATCTGAAATGCTACGTTTATGCAGGGACGTAGACGAATTTTAGCGTATTTATTTTTAGATAAACACACACACACACACACACACATATATACACACACACATATATATATATATACATATGTATATATTTCACAAGCAGTGAAAGTAAAAATTTAATAACACAATCTGGCAATTATTTTAAACAGCTTGAGCGTGCGCACATGTATGTAACAGTTTTTATTAAATTTATTGTTAGGGGGATAATTTTATTTTTTATTGGCAGAACTGGATGTTAGTTCAACATTTGCGAATAAGTTCTGACATATCGTTTCCTACAACGCCGATGCCAATTTATTTAAACAAGTGAAAAATAGTTTACTGAATTATTATAATTATTATTACTACTCCTATTATTATTATTACTGACATTATTATTATTATTCGTCCTTACGATGATGAAGTTGCTGTCCAAGCAGGCCAATTATTGCATGGAAGAGCTGATGGCATTGATTGCATAATAATGTTGATAGAGAATGATGTCGCTTTTGTCGAGCCTTTGTCTCTTGTCGTTTGACTTCTTCATTTTCTCTTCTGGTGGCTTCGAATATTTTGGTTTCGATGGTGATAGAACATCACCAGTTGTGCGGTCATGTCCATGTGTATCAAACGATTTAGGCTCAAGTCCAGTGGCTTTCAATGTTGTTTCGATTTGGTCCTTGTATCTTCGAAGAGGGCGACCCCGTGGTCTTTTCTCTGAAGTGAGCTCACTGAATAAGACTTGACGTGAAAACCGTGACTCTTCCAATCTTGCTACGTGTCCTGACCATCGAAGTCGATGTTTCATGATCAGCGATTTGATGCTTTGGCTGTTGGCTCTTTCCAGGATTTCGCTGTAGGTCACATAGTAATTTCATTTGTCATCCAAAAGAAGAACTCCAAAAGTCTGTGAACAACTTTGTATGGCCTACCATTGTTTTGGCCTTACAGTAAACATCAAGAAAACCAAACCCCTTGCACAGCCAATCCCA